CTCGAATGAAATATTGTAGTTCATAGTAAAGATTTTGAATTCTGAGAGTCAGGGTATGGTTCTAATGTAAAATATGACAATTATGTAATTTTTAAGATACCATACAATATTTGACCTTAAATGACCTTAAATGACCTATTTGTGGCAATACCTGGTCAAAAATGGTATGATGGTTTTCCTTGACCATATAAAAATAGTTTCAGACATTAGAATTATAATTCCAAGTGGTTTAGAAGCGAAGATATAGATAAACATAGGTTTTATTAGGCGGCTATTTTGAAATCCAAGATTGGGGGGGTGGATAATGCGATTTGCGAAGCAGCAAGAGAGTGGGGGGCATGGTTTTGACAGGGCGCAGATCTGTTTCAAAAGACGTTCTACCTGCATACTTATGCCTTCACAATGATATCCGCCACCGCAAAGTCCAACGTTTAATCAATAAACTTCAATCGAAAAAGTATAGACATCCGGATGATACCGATCAAGCTTGTTAAGGAGTTTGCCATCGAGTTGTCAGTTCCGCTTGCCAATATTTTTAACTGCTGTTTGGAGGAGGGAGTCTTCCCCGATTTATGGAAGTTGACAACTGTCATCCCTATTCCAAAGATCGTTAATGTGACATCATTTCAGGACCTCCGACCGATTTCACTCACCCCAAATTTTGCTAAAATTTTTGAGTCTTTCCTATACTGATTGGCAAAAATAGTAAACTCATGACAAGTTCTTCCATGGGCGACGAGGGGTACAAGCTCCCCAACAAGGGGCCAACCCCCCACTCCCACCCACGATCGGGGAAAAAAATTAAATTTGTCTGAGATTTTTTTAAATCAAAACACATAGTGTATGATACGTATTACAGTTGGTCTAACTATTTATTATAGGCTATCATAGCTGCAAACATGAATTTAGTAGCTGCATTAAAAAAACATTAATAATGTAAATATTTACCACACTGACTGAGTAAAGTCATCAGCGTAGATAGATTGATGACTGTTGATTATTAAAGCATTATTCGTCATCATCATCACATTTATTGTCATTATCGAACACCACGCACCATAATAGGCCTCTATACAATAGGCTATTCATCATCGTCATCACTGCATCCCGGGTCATTACCAAACAACAACAACAACTCGGACGATTATGCATATTACCATAATTATCATTTCTAACCACCACCACCAATCACAATCGCCATCTTCATGTGATAATCTTCAATTACCTGATAATGAAACAATTATTTTCAATATATTATTTATTAATGTTTGACATAATATTAAAAAAAAAACCCGATAATACAAAGTCATATTTGACTAGGGGCCTATAAAAATAATAAATTCTCCCTCAGGTCGGTACACCGCTAGCCGAATTCATAGTAAACAACTGTAGGCCCTAAGACTGTATAATCCCTGGAAATATTATCTGCAGCAGATAGAATATGATTCACTAATGAATATGTACAGCATTGGATGATTGCAGTGGTGGAGCCAGTTGAGGGGCGCCCCCGTCGGAAATAGTTCCTCCACCTCTTTTGCACCATAATTCGGGACTCAACACAATTTGTGAAAAAAAAAAAACCTATTTAATTTTTACATAATTATGAGACTAGGCCTAATTGATTAAACGATAGGACGAATAACACAAGTGAATACTCGGAAGTCCCGGGTTCGAAACCCGGTTTTGGGACTTTTTTTTTTTCAAACTCGCAGATTCCTCTTTCTTAACGTTCAACATTTATTGCCATATATTTATAGAATTACCGCAAGACGGTTTAGATTTTATCTCCATTATATCAATATGTATATGTATATGTATATATATATATATATA